TAAGGCTGAACTGTGCGAAAGCGGCGAAGCCGGCCAGATCTATATTACAGCTGATTAGACGAGTCTCTATTGGGTTTGAAAAAGATGGTTTTTCAAAAATATTTGGAAGCTTCGTACGGCCGCACCTGGTATTCGCTATACAGGCATGGAGACCTTGGAATGTCGGACTACACCGTCTTATGGAAGGTCCAGAGGCGAGCAACAAAAATGGTCAAAGATCTGGGAACACTGTCCATTAAAAGCAGACTGTCAACCTTCGATCTATTTTCCCTTTCCTACAGACAACTTCGAGGAGACTTTATACTTACCTTCCGCATTATGAATAACCTGGATTGTTACTTTGTTCCCGACGATTTGTTTACCCAGGCTAATACGCCAACTTTGCGCGGACATCCCCTTAAACTACGCCTCGGCAAAGCAAGGCTCGACGGATGAAAGTTCTTCAGCAACAGAGAAGTTGAAACGTGAAGGGCCCTTCCCGAAGACGTTGTCTTCTCCACCTGTGTAAATTCATTGAAGAGTAGACTGAACATGCATCAAGGACAAGCTCACATACAGACCGCGTAAAAAAGCACTGCATCGTATTATACTAATCGTGATTAGCGAGTATTCATGTGTTTGACATATTTTGTTACGATTTCGACCACCCAACAGTAGTGGTGTCTTCGCAGAACATGTAATTGACGGGGTTTTTTTAAATTTGTCTTTGTATCCATTTATTTCCTATCATCTTGCTAACAATAAGGAGTTCAAAGGCATTCGCCTATCTTTCCCTCAACAAACTGATTCTGAAAACAAATACAGAGAAAAAAATGCAAAGAGACATGAAAACACTGCATGCGAGTCACTAATCTGCGTAGGGGTGTTATGCGTGTTTGTGCATGTGCTGACCTTAGTCATCTCCGCGATGCATGATATTACTGGTATGTGTGGTTTAATAGCCAGCATACAACCCCTCTCTGTGTCTTTGTGAATTTATATTGACCCTTAAAGCTCATCCTTATGCTGCTATTACAACATCAGCCCTGAAATTTAAGCAGCTTTAACTCTAACCTAAAAACCCTATCTCTGACCTTGAAATACCAACATTAAATCCGAAATACATACCCGAAATACCCAAACCTAATGCCTTATCGAATACTAATCCTAATCGTAAACCGGTGAGGCGAAGGGGGTGAGTTGGTAGTATGCATGTGACCCGGTTTCATTACCCATGCGCGACTGGGTAATGGAAATCAAAGACCAGCTGAACTCCAATGAAAAATCTGGGGTTGTGTATCACATCCCATGCATAAGATGTCCTTGTAACTATACAGGGCAAACTAACGCATGCTCGGTTCGTGCATACACGAACATAAGCTGGCTGTCAGACGGGGTGATATATTGTCGCAAGTGGTGGCCCACACCTACGAGACGGGTCACGAGTTTAACGTCGCAGCTGCGAAGATAATGGCCCACGCCGGCAGCAGGACAGGCCGAGAATTTATTGAAGCCTGGTCCTCGGATGAGAATTCAGTCAATCGATCTGGTGCCAGCATTAATCGCTTTCCGCAAGCATATTCGCTCGGCCGACACTGCTGATTAATGAGTTCCGTCCCTCCTTTCCTCCTTCCCCCTTTGCAGCTTGTTTTTCGTGGACTCCTTTATCTCTGACGATGAACTCCCACGAGAGCCTAAAAGCTCAGAACAATAAACAATTCGATCCGGTGCTCGATAACCCCTCATTCTTATTTGTGCATATACCTGGAACGCGAACCTTTTCATTCATTTGTTCTTTGTTTCCCATCACCTGCCTTTTCTGACCACTCCCCAGGTACTGCGTCGTAGCTGTCTTGAGGTGCCGGCCAGTGGACCACTGGTTACTTTCCTTTGCAGTCTCGGTTTCAAAAAGGACTTCGACTTTGTCGCTGAGGGACACATTTTCATTCGCGGTCGGGCGAAAGTGCTGGTGTACTCGGTGAATCAGGTGGAACAATACAGCCACCATGAGAGCGGTTCGGTGAGTCCTGCATTCATTTATCTGGGAATCGGGTAGGGGACGGAAGCAGTATCGGCATTCTGGTAGTGGTAGTCGTACATAAGTGATTCAGTTCTCATTGTGGGATCCTCAAAATACTTTTGGCGGGAATTGTTTATTTGGTCCCTCGGCAAAACATATGGACAAGAATCGTCCGTAATACACGTACCTTAGAGTTAAATTCCGCGAAATTATGGTTAAGAGTAAGGTTGCGTTTAACGTTTGGTCTGTGGTTAGGATACGAGAATATTGACCCTTCCTGGACTTGGGGTGCATGAAGGAGCAGAACGTGGGGGCGTTTCTATTCTCGTGTTCTGTCGCGGATGGGGATCATATTTTACTGAGTAAATCAATTCACGGTATCGATGGACACGAAACAGAATTTAGCACGTGTTAGCGCACCGCATATTTTAGGTGTTAACGCAAAGCCTATTATAGCTCTATGAGGGGTTGGCACTGCTCATTGATGAAGCTTATCTCACTTGGAACCACTTAATTCCGAGAGTTCGGAATATCTTAAGGTCTAAGAAGTTAGATTCTTAATATGTAGTATCGGAGCACATGGAGCTCTTGCATGGTGTAGTTCCCTTCCGATATGAGCTGGTACTCAGGTGTTTGTCTGCGTCCGCTGTCTTCTGGTTATATCTACATACTATATTCGCTAGGGGCTCCATTGGTCATTGCGGATATCCATCGAGGTAGAAAGCCAATAGAAATGTTTATACATTAGGGTTTATTTGCATAGACAGGAAATAGTCGTAAAAATGTATATAAACGATATGCACAAGAGTTAGAACAATAGTCGGGGGAAGGTGGATCTGAATACTACCACCACAGAGTGGATCAAACTGTGGTTTCCTCATAGGAAGTGTAACTGCTACTCATGACTGTCCAACAGGGAAGGTGAAGCTGGAAACTACTACCACTTTTGTTGAAGGAAAAGTGACTGAACAACTTTTAACTCCCTATCGGTTACGATGACATCGCAAAAGAAAAACACAGTTACATAGAGGACGATAGAGAGAAGACCAACTATAGAATTGCACGCAACAAGGATGTAACTGTCCGATAACTGCTACCCTGTGCCAGTGTATGCGTGCTTTGGTGACAAAGGGTGAACGCATATAAAATCGTTACTGAGATGCGTTAAGTAGCATGGAAATAAGCACACATCGGACAAGATGCAAGGGACCGCACATTGTCACCCAAAGTGATGTTTAACGAAATATGTCAAAGGCCGTGACTGCCCCCTAAAATTTAATAACTGACTCGGGGGTCATCCATTTAAACTACAGAGGAAACTGGCCCATATGGGTTTTCGACGGAACGCCTTCTCCTAGAGGGTCATTGGAGCGCGTAACGGACTCCCTGACGAGGTGGCCCTTTCAGAAATTGTTGCAGCATTTAAATGCAAACTCGATTCGCATCTGCTGGGAAACTAGTATACCCATCATTAACATTGCGCCAGTAACGGCAGTTTGAGGCGGGTTCACATATATCGCTGATGCCAACTCTACATTTGTCTTAAGTACTGTTGTTAAAGTTAAACGTTTTTGAATATGAATAGGGGCTCATGGGCGAAAGCCTTTTTCCCTCAATAAAGTGACTGATGTATCTAATAGTGTTACTCTAAAATGGGCAGTAGCATGCTGATTATGATAAACATCATCTATAACTCTGCCCCAGCAGCGTTCATCGTTAGGCCATTTGTCCTTCTCCTCTTCAGCCCCTGCCAAAGAGCTGGCGCAACCTCCTGCCTCGCAGCTACATGGTTGAAGTCAGTGCCGTTGGCAGTCCTGCAGATGACACCCTTGCAAAGGAAGTTGCCGGTCTGATGGAGCTCCTCTGTCCCCTTGTTGTCCCTGGCCGGGTGGACCATGCTCGTCTCGTGTGTCGATGATTTACCTCTCCCTCCCCCCTGCCCTCCTTTTATTGTTTTTTTTAAGTACAACTTATGCAACGGTCACTGTTCTCCATTATTTATATGCCGTTCTTTACGAGTTTTTAAGCTCGAGGACTATTTTAACCTAAGTGGCGGACCGGATAGATGCCTACCGATTAATTACGGGACTCATAAGTCCTGTTCTGACTTGGGGCTTACTCTCGATCCCTGCCAGCATCCGCACAGCGGCCACGATTATGTGCAGAATTAAATTACAGAAGAATGGCTATTTCTGATTCATTAGCTGTCACCAGCCAACCATAACTAACCCCAGTAGGCGCACCACCCAAAGCTGGAACCCGTGACTTGTTGCTTAGGAGTCCAACACTATGACCCATCGTGCCATGGGCTCGTTATCTTGCCGATCTTAGATCGGGCTTATTGACTCATGGGATAACGTTTAGGCATGCGAATACCGGATGACCTATTACCCCCAGTTCACAATCGACGCCAAACCACTTCGGCTGATGGGTATATCACAGCGTGGGATAAATGAGTCACCTCTGACAAATGTTAGCTTCAGTTACGGTGAAGTGAATCCCGCGTCAGTAAGTTCTGCAGGGGAGGGGGAAGGTGGTAACTCTATGGTGACGTGAGTGTCGCGTCGATAGGTTCTGCAGGGGAGGGGTTGTAAACCTTACGATGATGCGAATCCCACAGCGATAGGTTCTGCAGGTGGGGGGGATGTTTTAACGTTTATCTTTTGGGCCACATGTCCGCGGGGATGCACAATCAGTAAAGTTCTTCTTGGCCGAGCACGGGTAGGCTGCTGTTGTTTCAGGTAGCGTCCATGTTAGTACCAGTACTGTGACTAACCCCCCGTGGCGGGTTACGATCGTCACCCAATCTTGACAACAACTATCCCGCAAGTGGGAAGGGCGCCGTGTGCTCATAGAAGCGTAGAAAGGCCTACGCCGAAACAAATCCCGCCCACCCTCGCAGCGGGACACATTAGCAACCGATTAAATAAACACAGATAAGGAGATGTAAGCAAAGGCACCCCTCCCCGCAATTCGCCCTCACCAATGACATAGTCCAGCGCACATAATTCTAATCTAGCTTACTCTAGAATCTAGCTGGCTGTAACTTCACTAATCAGTTTAGACACAAATGTACCTCTTAGTTTACGCAGTCCAGTCTTTTAGCTAGATTTGCTTAGCGAATGCCGCTTTGTTACGACCAAATTGCATGGTAGTTCTTCAGCTATTATCAAATACACGTTCCTTTTAACTTCCAGCTTACTATAATTCCCATCCTAGGCTATGACTTTCAGTTATTTTTTGATGACGATGGTCGAACACGAACTTTCATATGACACGCAG